TTTTTTTTGAGGGATTTTGGTCTTGGTCGGGTCGCACCAGTTGCGGGGTCGCGCTGCACAGATATCCTCAGTGAAAACTTTTACTGACGTAGAGGGAGTGGGAGAGACGGTTGATTTATTCCAGATAACAGAGGAGCGAGGAGGGGAGGTGAAGAGAGGGAGAGGGGTGGGGTTGCTGCTTGGTTTTTTAGGGGGCGGGGGTTCTTATGTGCCAATGAATGTGAACAATGAAGGATTCTATCGTTCCAGTTGTGCAGTGACACAAATCATGGCTTTGCAGTGCAACTTCCGTCTTCATTTACCATCACTCTTTCGTCTAGGACGTGGAAAATTTCGTCATGTGCGTGTCAGGATACTAAGCAGACTGATGGCCTAAGTTGACTGCACGTCAAGGATATTTCATCATACGACCTTCATCAAGTCGGTTTGGTGTAGAGCAGCATAGACGATGTCAATCGTCCTACATAGCTGCCTCGCAGCATGTCACAGGACAGTTGACCGGGCAGGCTTCGCAGCAACTGGAGTCAGAGCGACTTTTAAGGGAATTCGATGCACTGCCTAAAAGTAGCTTTGCTAACGATACAATCGTATTACAATAAGTGGAAAAAGTCGAAACAAAGTTACACCTCAAATACTGTTGACGGGAAAATTAAGCTTAGAAGGACTTAGGGACTTACAACCCCCTACATATCAGCTGTTTAGATGACGTGATAACTGCTCATGGCACTCGATTTCCTGCAGGAAGATGCATTCGCATACGTAATTAAAGCATTAACAGGGGAAGATATGGATTTAGCCGCAGAGAATTACATGAAAAAAATACGACTGCAAAACTTCGTTTGTTGTTCGTATTGCCCTTGTTGTCACGGCAGTTTGTTTAACACAGTAACAGTATGCACGATTAGCGACTCTCGCCTGGGTGGGTGATTATTTTTCGATTTTATTATGAATGAGTAATCAGTAGCAACTGTCGTAGTTGACAGTTGGTGTCATGCACACCTCATTACAGAGTAAAACGTACTAATCGTGCCTGCACGATTGCTTATGTGGACTTTGTGAAGCAGCTAGAACGCGTCGTTGTGTGCAACTTTCAGGAAATATTGCAGATTGGTTTTCTGCATTTTCGACTAAAGCTACTTTTCGTTAAGTAAGGGATTTTTAACTGGCTGTACTTCTCTTTCAGATGTAGGTTGATGGTTGGTGTCTGGCAAATACGTTTCCAAATCATTTCTTCC